AAGCCCCAACCCCCGGCGAGCCCACACGCATCCCGCTCCTCACGTGAGTCCATATTAGGCGGCTGGCGGCGGACGTGCGCGCGCTCGCCCTCTCTCTCGCTCTCTCCCGCCGCGCCCCGGCCATACACGTGTGAGTCCCTGCCGCTCGCCCTTTTCGCGCTCTCTCGCTCCTCCTTTCGTGAGTCCTTGGTCTTTGGGCGTTTGAGGGGACGAGGGAGGCGATTCTCGGTGTGGGGAAGCGTGCTCGAGGATCCTTTTTCCGAGAGTTTGGGGAATTTCCTGGATGGGGAAAAAAGTGTTGGATAATGACAAGTTTTCTGCTGGTCGCCGCCATATTGTGGCTCTTTTGACGTGTTTTTGGTGTGGTTTCGGGCCTCCCGGTAGAGTTCAGGGCGTTGTCGCTGCGTGGGAAGGGAGGGAATCGGTGTCCTTTAAGGCTGGCGTGAGATTAACGCATGTAGGCCTATAGTTTGGGGTTTACATGTGCACGTATTATTAAGGTCAAACAATAACCTTTTTCCCCCCGAAGTCCACCACGCCGGACTTCGCCACATGCTTTTTCGCGAAGGGCTAGGAACTCGGCGAGAATGGGCCGAATCGCCCTGGATCGAAGGGGGTTTGGTGGAGGTTTCGATGTTTTATAGATTTTTGGATTCCTTTGTGAGCCACGTTGAGGCTATTTTTGCACTTGACGGAACCCATTCTTGCAGAAATCGTCGCGCTGGGAACGTGCCACGGCTTGCTTCCTTGACCCTCCTATTTATTGCCTGGGAAACGTGGGCTTTGAAGTATTTGCAGCCACAATTATTTCTTTGAATATTATGTAGGCCTCTTATGTGTGGGTGCGAGTTTTTTTTTTTCTCCCATTTTCTCTTCTTACTTTCACCTAAGTTGTAAGTGCTGCTATTTGTTGGCTAAATAACGAATTTCGCGTGAAGCTATATTAGATGCAGAAGAATTTAGATGATTATTGGAACTTGTCAGGTTGGGTGAACATGGTGTAATAGTCACAGGATTGATGTGAAATATTTTAGACCATTTTCATGTGTTAAAGGTTACAGAAATCTCTGCAACAGATACTGATAGTTATATTTATGTAAAATTTCTAAAATTTTTATATTTAGGGAAGGATTCTTGCGATAAAAAAAAAAAATTCAAGTCCATGGATTTGAGAAGGTTTAAGAACCCTTTAAGCTGACTAGGCATTGTTCCTACAGATCAGGCGACCACAAAAATGTCAGAGGAGCTGCAAGCTGATTTTGAGGGTGGTGATTCCGGTGCCTCCAATGTGTACCCCGCACAGTGCTCCTCCCTTCGTAAGAATGGACACGTCGTGATCAAGGTAGGTTTATGGTGCCAGTGGGTAACAGGTAGTTCTCAAGTGGTAGTTTATTTTGTCAGGAATTGTTTATCATGTGCAGATTGTCAGCCTTGGAAAGAGTGAAGTATCAGAAATGGGAATATTAAAAAAAATAATTGAATAAGTTTAGCATATGAAGTGTACAAAGTACCTGGTGTAAAAAAGTTTATATAGAATTAAGATGTCCATAAGGTTAAGGTTTCAGAGCTATAGTGCCATTTGAGTTTAGTTTTGTTATTTGTATTAGAAAGTTTCATTGTTTGTGAAACTGTAGTTAAACTACTGCAATAGTAGAATAATTAAAACCAGTAAATTGTAACAAAGAGGACTAGGAGAGCTGTATCAGAATACCTGTCTGAATGTTCTACAGTGGTCCATGGAAATTGTTGTATGTACAGTTGATCTATAATCAGTAACACACATCCATTGGCCATGCTGTTCAAGCAAAACTTAGTTCATGTTATCGAGATGTGGACTTTACCGTCTCTTAGAGTATGAGAAAGAAAGGACGCAAGTGCAGCGGCTCCAGCCTCGTATTTATTGTGAAATGACCCATCTGCTGTATATCACTGCTCAAAGTCCATAACCCTCTCAGAACCAGACATCTGAATGTTCTGTTTTCTGTAAATTGTTTGTGCTAATAAAGTGGTACAGGGCATTTACTCCTGTCTGGGGTATAAACAGAAGGTAGGAAAGGTAAGGTTTGGAATTTTGGGTTTGCATGATACTCCGGTTTTGACTCCCCTCTTGTTGCTCTTGGTGTAAAACCAAGCATGCTAAATATTTGATGTATAAAACCATATATCAGGCCTTAGTGGGCTTCGTAACTAGAAGGTATTAAAGAAATTCTTGACAAATTGCAATCTACTTACATTTTTGTAAACCTATTATTCCAGTTTAATTTCAAATTTCTATTCTGAAGTGGGTGACTTGAGCAAACCTTAATCTTTTTGCTGTAGTGTATCATGTTTAGGTCCATTAACTGTTTGTAATTCTTTATAAGGGTTAGGTTTTTTTTATTAATTCTTGATTCTTACAGCCATTTACATTTGACTAGCACCTCCAAAAGATAATGGGTAATTGTTAATGAAAGTTATGTATCGTAGTCCAAAAACAAGGGTATTGTGTGAACCCAGAAATCCAAACCTAACCTTTGCTACCTTTATTCCCTAGTTAGGGGCAACCCCCTGTACCCATTTTATCAGCTTTGTGCCAACTCCCACAACAATTGTTATAGTAAATGAAAAGGCCTTCAGTCTGGAGGGTACAGATGAGTTGTGGTGAGGAATGATTATAGAAAATGGATATTAAGGTGTCCCTGAGCAGTGATAAGCAACAGATATTTTCCATCATTTCTTGGTAAGTGAGGGCATGGCAGGTGTACCTGTTGATTATTTTTTTTATGGTATACAAGGTGGCCATTTCCCTCTGTTTAGGCTTTGCTCTTGGTGATATTAACCAATTAATGCATATGAAAGGTTCCTATAATTTTTAGGACATTTCTGTGGGGGGTTAAAAAAAAAATGGTTTTGGCAAAATGAAAATCTTTAAATTTTACCTGATTAAGTATTTTTTGTTCACTAGTCTGATAGTAAGTTGCATGTAACTGAGAATGCCAAGATTCCCCCCCCACTCCAAACAATAACCTGTTGCACAGGTGTTACTCTTGTTACGTTTGTAGTATTTTGCCCCTGGTATTCTGGTTCTGGGACAATAAACTGCCGCTTTGTATCGTCTGAATTGGACCTACAATCACATTGATTTAAGGAATACTTGTGGGAATGGTCCTTTTAGATGTTGGGCATCTTGAAATTTAACAATTTCCTTTGTTTCCTAGGAAATTCTATAGGTTTCAACTTCTATAAAAAATAGAAATCTCTTAAGCTCCACATTTATTATACTATAACATAGCATTTGGTAAGGTAACAATAAAACCCCATTTTGTATTTGTAGGGTATATAAAGTGCTCAAATGCCACTCTTCCAATTTATAGATAACTTAAAGATGAGCTTAACCTGTTGCTACTGGGTCATGTGTATAGCCACCATAACAAACAGCATGATCTGTGGGGTACAGCTGCACATGTGGTGAGGTGCGAAAGCGTGAGGAGTAGGAAGTTCTGCTACATGTAGCGAACTCATGCACTCATGGCTGGATGTTGCCAGAAATAGTCTATGATGCTGAGAGATTTCTAATACCTTCCTGTTTTACTGAGGGATTAAAGTATACAATTTCTTTTTGGTGATTTTTCTTGTACGAATTTCTGTTAGCTGTTATCTTCAGTGTTGCATTTATAGGATAGTTGGCCCAGATGTATTTGTTAATGAGTAAGCATTGAAGTGGAACTTTATATTATACTGTATTACAGGGCCGTGCCTGCAAGATTGTAGAAATGTCAACCTCAAAAACTGGCAAACACGGTCACGCTAAGGTACATCTGATCGGTATTGACCTTTTCACCGGTAAGAAATATGAAGATATCTGTCCTTCAACCCACAACATGGACGTGCCAGTGGTCAAGCGTGCAGACTACCAGGTAATGAAAGCAGTTTTTGGATAATATCTTATTTTGTAAAACATTTTCTGCGGTAACATAATTCCTGTGGAGATCGATTCTAATTTTCATTTCTTTACCAGCTGATTGACATCTCTGATGACGGCTACCTTAGTCTTATGAAGGATACGGGTGAACTGCGTGACGATATTAGATTGCCTGATGGAGACTTAGGCGCTGACATTAAGAACAAGTTCGAAAATAATGAAGACCTTCTGGTAAGCTATTCCCGGTTATTCATACGAGTATTCTGTCAAATATATTTGCAATTCCTTCTAAACCTAGAGTTTAAAGGATCATTACCATGTATGGAAAACTATAAAGGTTGTTTCTTTTGCAGTTGACAGTCCTGGCTGCTATGGAAGAGGAAATGGTAGTTGCTACCAAGCCAAATATGAAGTAAACTCCTTCCAGAAGTTGCTACCATCTACACCACTACACCACCTTCACAACCAGCCATTAGCTCATTAAAGTATATATTTTTTTCCTATTAGACCCATATAACAGGGTTGATGGTTGACACCTGTGATCATTCTACAATGGTTTGGTATGTCATTCTACAACAATTTTGTATTTCGTGGGGAAGGATATGGTGTTCTATCTTACCTACCTTTGCTTTGTCCATGGCCACCTGTTGTAACTTTGTTTGGCAGTAACTAATTGGCCTTGGAAGAAGTGGAGAGAAGGAGCCATAAGCCTCATCTTTACTCATAATTCATGTCCAACTGGACATCATGTTTGTTTGAGTGTTACAGCCACAACCATCCAAGTTTGTGGTCATTTTTTTTTTTAATTTGTTGTGGAGGGGCAGCATATGTGACACCAATTCAAACAACCTTGCGGCCCAGTATATTGATCTGTGACCAAATAAGGAATAAATGGTGTATTGTTTATATGGCGTTTGATTGTTCAATTGATCCAAGCTTCAGTGCAGGAGAGCCTTTTCCTTTTTTACATTATCATAGAATATGGGCCCATTACTTGGGTTTAAAGAAATGCTTTTATCTAACTTGTTTTTGTACTTCAATGTGCATAATTAAATATGCTAAATATTAGAATAAAAATTTACAACCATTCCAGTGTTAAGATGTTCTTTCATTCACATATCCCCAGGATTGAGCAGATGATTGCAGTAGAAGAATTAATCTGAATATTGGATTAATAATGAACTGTAGCACTTTTCAGTTGTGACATGGGGCTAATGAATTGTTGAAAACCTTAGACTCAATTGTTTACTTAAGGGTTAGCTGGTGTACAAGAAGGCACAGTTTACAAGTTGCCAGTAATTCTTTTGGGTCCTGCATTTGAATCCAAGGGTATGTATGCAATTTTTCATTCACTTGTTACAATTTGAATGATATACCAAGTTTGTACCTTGACTGTAATGCTTTTTTGCTTAATGGGGAATACCACTGTATCATTCAAATGACAAATAAAAGGCTTTTATTGTAGTTGTGTATTAAACTGCAGTATTAGAACTCCTTTAAGAATAAAACCTATAGTCTTGTTCTGTTAAAGTCATGACTATATACTGAAAATATTGCAGCCTTAGAATGAATCAGCCTGGATGGATGTAACATGAAAATACTGATCATAAAACTGCTTTAAGAAGCAGTGTGGAATAAATGATAAAAGGTTTAACATGTAAATTTTTTTTGGGCTTAATGTTCAAACTGAGCTTGCAGTAATGTACTGGTGTACTTGTTACCAGATGTCTTTAAAGAACATGTGAATGGTATGCCCCTGGCAATATTTACATTTATCTAACCGAATATCCTTTAGAGTATGACTGCCAGGGTGGAACTCGAGGGTGTGAAACTAGAGACTTCTGGCACTGGTGTGAAGTTACTCTCATAACTTGGCATATCCGTTTCAGTACTCAGGATAGTTAAATCCCTGATGCAAGTTTCAAGTAGGATGGCTCACTAACAGCATTTTCTCAAGTTCATAATCACATGGTGTAAGCTCAAGGGGTCTTCCATTGGGAGGAAAGTGGTTAGATTTGGGAATCAAAACTGAGGTAATAAAAAATAAAAATGCCTGTATCTAGAAAATTGCCATGTTGAGTTACTTGATGAATGGGAACTTTGGCCTACCACCCAGAAACCAATAGGGGCATCATAGAACATCATTTATGGAGTCCACCCTGGCATGTTTGTTGCAACTTTCAAAAAAGGTAGGATGAAAATACACACAGCTGCTGGGAGAATTTATCCAGATGCTTTAGATGCTTGTAATAAAAATTTTCCTACCTATGACCTGCATTTTTTGTGTTGATGGCCAGGGAGAGTGCTGATTACCATGGCAAATTGTATGTATTGGTTATACTCCTGCATTGGTAATGTACTGACCCTCAAAGCAGGTCTTTGTGATGATAGTATAAAAGTTTGCAAGATTTGCAGGTTCGTGTTGGCCAGCTTTCAAAATTAAATATGTAACTGTATCAATAGATATGTAAACACGCACTCTTTGAATATTGATAACTTGACAAGATGGCAATTTCAAGATTTTTCTCCTGTGAAGATTTGACTTTCCAAGATGGATATAACTCGGATTTAACAAACAACGTAATTTGTGAATTATGAATTCTTACCTGGATTAAAAATGTTTAGTACTACAGAAACAAGTGTTACATTACTTTGTAACTCATTTCGAGTCTCCAAATTAGAAGTTTTGTGGTCTCGTACCAACTTCGGCACATCCTAGGAGCAGGCAGAAAAAGATGAACTTGCAGTTCGGTAATTTGAATAAATGGTGATAATTATTTTCTTTTTAATGAGATACAACCTAATTTTGATTATTATTCCAAAAATGGTTGCGCGTGTTTCTTCTTTTATCAAGAAGAGCATTTGGCCTTCGACACATTTTTCACAGATAAAAATGTGTTCGCTACGATAATTTGAACTGCACCTCCTGGTGTTAATTATTCCCAGCTCCTTACCCTGTAATTAACAGTGGCTAAATGTTTCAACATAGGTTCCCCCCCCAATCCTATGCTTCTTGTCATGGGGTACAGTGGTGATGGGCACTGAGTGGGTGGAGACTGAGGCTCAATGTTGGATCTTTCCTGCCTTGGGCCTTGGCCCACAGCTCTTTTCTTCTCCAGCCTTCCAATGCCTTGCTTGTTGGGGGGGAGGGGGTAGGAGATGGGGACTGAGGCCCAGTGTGGGGATCACCCCTACTTTTTGTCCTCAGCCCTTGCCTGAACTAATTTTGCATGGTCTTTTCTTCTTTCATTTTCCTTTTCTTCAAACCCTTCTGTCCACTTACCCTAATTGTTAAACTAATTTTTGCTGTTTTTCCCCTTCTAACAACCTTTACTTTATACCCCATCTGCTCCTCCTCTCTACCCTTTTTTATTATCATACCTCTTTAGTACTGTTCAACCTATAACTTTACCCATATCATTAACCTGTTCCTAATCCTTTTCGCTACTCTAAGTTACCATAGCACCATATGACCTTTGGTGTCCTATAGCACATCCTAACCTGGGGTCATTACCCCCATTACCCCCTATCACTATATTTTGAATATGCTGCTAATGACCTTTGATGTTGACATGGCAAGAATTTTCAAGAAATAAAGTTTCCTCTCCAACCCCTTCTCCTGTCCACTTTAAAGGTGCAAGAGCCATCTTGAAAGAATTAACCGCTGGTTTTGGGTTGGTCCTGAACAGCCTTGGGGAACCATGGGCAGAGTCCCCCCCCCCTTAGTTTCTCTTCTTTACATTCCCCCCTAATCCCTTGCTATTGCTTGTTGTGAGGGGCTTTGGAGACTGGGACTGAGGCCCAATTTAGGGATCACCCTTTCCTTGCTGCTCAATCCTTGACTCAAAAAATTTTGCAAGGTGTTTTTCCTTTTTCTTTTCTTCATCCCATTGTTCTGTACACTACTAATTCTTAACCCATTCGCGACGGGTGTCACATATACGTGACATGCCCACTGTGAGTTTACTTGTTTAATTGTTTTAACACATAGATGGCTACACTTGTTGCGAGTACTGCCTGTCTCACCCGTTTACCTTTTTCTTTAATTTACGAGAATATTTAAGTTATCTTATTTTGCTGTTACTAATGTTTATAACATTATAGTAATTATAATGTTTATAATAAAAATAACCATCGATATTCATAGCACTGGTAAAAAATACATTTTCCCACCAAATGAAATCAGGTAAGGCAGAGCCAACTATGTGTAGAAACATTTCACTAAAAGTATAAAAAATGCATTTTCCCCATTTTTTGTTCATTTTTACCCGTTGCGAATGGGTTAAACAATGCTGTTGTTGCTACAATACTTTATCCTAATGCTCCTTGCTCCCTTAAATACTTCCCCTTCTAATAACCTTTACTTTATGCTATACCCCATTAGCTCTCTACCTTTTTCACTACCATACTAGTACTGATCAACCTGTAACTTTACCCTAATCATTAATTCATTCTTAAGCCTTTTTACTACTATACTTTACCAAAGCACGAAATAAACTTTGATGTCACATAAGTACTTCCTTACCTGGGGTTTTGCCCTCAAGCCTCACGCTATGACTTTATTTTGAATATACCACTAATACATGACAGAAAATTTTCAATATATATATATATATTATATATATATATATATATATATATATATATATATATATATATATATATATATATATATATATATATACTACTCCAGGCTTACATATATATATTTTCTCTTACTCCAAGGTTATCATGGCTTACCATGTACCTTGATTGGGGGCATTTGAGGCCTGCCATGTTATCAGCTAGCCCTACTGATTTGGCCCTGGTTCTCCTTTGATGACAAAGTGGAACACTGCTACTACCCCTCTTTGACACCTTAGTCCATCCCAGGTCATCCACCTTGGTCACTACCCAACCTTCAGAAAACCTCCCTACAGTCTTCTTTTTAACACCCTCCCTTATTACTACTCTTCATCCCTATTGTCTGCCTCCCAACTGTTGGCATGGGAGATAATTTTAATTACTCAATCAATCTGCACTTTACTACCTCACTTGAAACTACTGCTTCCTCCTACCTTTGCCCTACTACTTCCACCTCTACAAGCCAAGCAAGATGATTTTTTTGTGATTCCTCTACAGCTACTTACTCTGACAATACTTCACACTGTCACAGTTACATTTGAGTACCAAGCTCACGCAGTCCCAAGCTGACCTCACTGACAAAACTATTCCTACTCAATTTCACTCCTGCAATACTTGTAATAGAACTGTTTTCATTTTCCCAGTTGACTGACCTGTCTACAATAGCTTGCCTGCTTCATTGACTATGAAGGAACATAAATACAGTGCTACACTATTGTTGCTACAATACTTTATCCTAATGCTCCTTGCTCCCTTAAATACTTCCCCTTCTAATAACCTTTACTTTATGCTATGCCCCATTAGCTCTCTACCTTTTTCAATTTCACTCCTGCAATACTTGTAATAGAGGTCAGTCCCAAGCTGACCTCACTGACAAAACTATTCCTACTCAATTTCACTCCTGCAATACTTGTAATAGAACTGTTTTAATTTTCCCAGTTGACTGACCTGTCTACAATAGCTTGCCTGCTTCATTGACTATGAAGGAACATAAATACAGTGCTACACTATTCCCCCAGAGCTCCCCCCATCCCCTGCTCATTTTTGTTGTGGGGGGGGAGAGGCCATAGGAGATGGGGACTAGGGCCCATTGTGGGGGACTACCTAACCTTGGTCCTCAGCTCTTGCATCAACTAATTTTGTATGGTCTTTTCTTCTCCTTTCCTTTTCTTCATCCCCTTGTTCTATCCAATTATCCCAATTGTTAAACTCATTTTTGCTGTTTTTGCCATAATACTTCATCATAATGCTCCTTACTCCCTTAACTCCTTCCCCTTCTAACAACATTTACCTTACACTATACTCCATCAGCTCACCCTCTTTCCCTACCATACCACCCTCTACTACTGTTCAACATGTAACTTCACCCTAATCATTTACCCATTCGCGATGGGCTGTCACGTATATGTGACATGCCCACTGTGAGTTCTCCCACTTGTTTTTATTGTTTATACACATGGCTACACTTGTACTAAA